GTGAAACACAGATTGCATCATGAAATGTCTTCTTATATATGACACCTAATTCCAGTCTTCACTATTCTATAATCTACCGGATGAAGCTTGAACATGCAGCTTGAATTTGAACACTTTTATGCGGTTTTTGCACATATGCAGGTGTAAAAACTGCATGTTGTGACGATTCGGGTTTATGTATATGTGCGCTTGTCCGGGTATTTCAACTCAGCAACCAACAAGCTCCGGCGCCCAGATTTTGCCAGTGTGTTTCCCGACCAAGTACCACCTCTGGGCCGCGGCACCAACCTCTACGCAAATCTGGGCCCACGTACGAGCGCGTGAGTGTTTAGATGAGAGTCGCTAACGCGAGAACCAGAAAAGCCAGGAAATTGAAATTTCGAGGTTATGTTCTCAACCATATACAACTCAAAGATTTAAAATCCCGCCCCCAGGTATGCGTGGTTCCCACCCACGGCCCGTCAAATTTTTTGGTGAGAGAAACTTGGGGACCAGGAAAGTTGGGGAGTTGGAATTTTAAGGGGATGTTCCAAGCCTACGTACGAATTAAAAACTTCAAGTTAAGGCTCCGGAAGTGTGTGACTCTCATTCTCATGTGTTTTGGCAGGAAGTCGCTAATTCGGGAACCAGGAAAGCTAGAAAGCTAAAATTTTGAAGGGATGTTCCCTGACAAAGTATTACGTACACCAGTATGCCACAAATTCTAGCTACTGGGATTCCAAGCGATTTTATACAGCACGAAATATTGCAAAAATGCATGATCGCACGGGCCCGTCTGGTGCGCGTCACCAGTGATTATTAATGGGACAGCAGAAAGGTGCAACAAAAATGATTAAATTCGAACACATTTTTATTGATGATGGGAAAGTAGAGGGCTGTAACAAAAACGATGCAAATAAAATAAGCAGCCTTTTAAACTTTGAATTACTTTGATGTGACAGATTAATGTGATATGGTCACATCTGCTGACAAGAACACGCTTTTTTTAACAACAACCGGGCTGATAACAGAAAAACATCGGAATAATGAATAAAGATACTTAAAATTCATTTCACAAAAATGACAATATGGCAAAGTAACTGCGTGTTAGGAAGATCGACAGAGAACGAGTGGTGCGAGGAACCGGGTACATAACAAGACACGAGAGTATCACCTACAGTCTTAAATAACGCGAAATTTACATCGTAAAATATCTGACGAACGAATGACATCACCGTATGTAGCGATCGGAGCACCGGTGCAGTTCCCACCGAAAGTTCTTAGCGTTTAAAATTATTACAAGCGCCGAGACCACCGTAAGGTGGGGCCAGTCAGCATGGAGAACTATGGTCACTTTACAGTGAGAATATTGTTACAAGAGCCATAAAAATGGCAAGAATGTGCGCTATTATGGGTGACTTCTGAACGAAGTACTGAAAGAGTATCTCAAAATAAAGATGAGCGTTTCTTGTTACAGGCCGATAAAAAAAAAAGTTAAAATTTTTCGAAAAATAATGCATTTTTCAAGAAAGTGTACTTCAACAAATTTCCGCATCTGGTGCCGCAGGAGCTTGAAATCCCCAGGACCAGAGACTGGTTAAGGTAAGTATTAAATTAACTGGTCAAAGTAAGTACCAAATGTTACTCATTAAAAACGTTTCTGCACCAAATAATGCGCATGTACATGTGATACAAGATATGCCTAAAAATAATGATAAATGAGGGAAACTGAAAAACAAAAACGATTTCACCGCGTAAAAGAAATCAGTGCACATCCTCCAAATCAACAGCAACAGCAGTAGCAGCATCAGCAGTGGTGGGACGATGCATGCATCGGCATCGCCTCTTCATCACATTCAGTTCATTGCGCATTCGCGTGTTTTCAGCAGCTAAGTGCTCATTTCTTTCTTCCATTGAGCGGAAGGCGATCTCAAAATGGCGTATTCGCGCACATTTATCGCTAATTATCTGGCTTAATTCGGCGACCTGACTTTCAAGCTGCTTGATCTGCTCGTCTTTCATCTTCTGCTGCTGCTTTGCTTTTGTACGCGAGCGTCTTACCGCATCGTTGTTCTTCTCACGCCTCAATCGGTACAGCGGATTTTTCTTTTCGGCCTGTAAAAAATAGCGGATGAAATCAATTATAACAGCTAAAACATCGAGGGTTTTGCGTTCGTAACAGTGATTTTCGAGCCCTTCCCTTTCTCCGCTCTCCCCCTCCCCCGTTTTTCTCAAAAAAATTTTTGTCAAAAGCCCCTAATTCTACTCACCTCATATAATAAAGCCCCTAAATTCTACTTATAACCAGTTTAGTGATATCATCTAAGGACCCAAAATTTCGTGTTTACCGCTTTTATGCAAATTACATTAATTACCATTTACCACACTATCATACTTCGCACAAAAGTCAAAACCCCCTCCTCATAATTCGCCTTTTACGAGAACAGAAGACCCCAGGCGCGGCTCGGGTGATGCTGCATCAACGGCAAAAAGCACAGTGATAAATATTAGCTGCTAATGGGCAAAACACTTCACTTCTTTGCTATCCAATTTCAAGTTCAGCTGCATCGACGTTCTTCTTTTAAGGCATGGGCTGCCGATTTTACTTTTCCCATATGCCACGTGCAACTGGTT